CCCTGGCTGCTCTTCCCGGGTCTCTTCCGGGTCCCTCTAGTGGCGTTCCCCGGTCTGGCGGCGGCGTTCCCGTCAGCCAGATTTTTTGATAATTCCAAGAGGTACAGTCAACATTTCCGTTTATCAAATGGGACAAGATGGACTCTTAGAGGTTATTCCTCCATGTCGCATCCAGGAAACGCAGGAGCAAGTGACCTTATCTCAGGCTTCTGACCTCAAATGCTAATTACATCATCTCACACACATCACAGAGCTACCCTTAAACTTGGTATTTTAACTTTGAGCAAGCCCTTTCTGTTAGTTATGTGGTCCTATTACATTTAAGACAGATTTATTCTCACATTGCTAGATTGCTGTTGAAGTCAATAAAACAGTTGAACTGTTACTTTTAAAAATTTTTAGAGGGCAGCTCATTTAAAATTTTCCTGTTCTTGAGAGTATTTTAAAGCACATTACAGATATCCTGACAGTCCCTTTCTAAGTACCTCCGTATGCATCTCTGCAAAGTAAAACATTGAAGGTGGTTGAAATGCTTTTGTATTGTATTCTTTTTTTGGTAAAGTATTCTTTACTAAAACATTTCCTTACTAAAGTATATAAATAACAAAAAGTAGGAATACTTTTTAAATAACTAAAAATAACAACACAATTATAAAGTTAGTAATAATTCTTTAATATTTAATAACCAGTGTAATCAAATTTCTCTGCTTTCTTTAAAATGTTCTGTACAGCTAGTTTGTGCAAAGCAGAACCTGCATTAGGATCATTCATGTGGTATTGATTTACTTAAGTCTTTTCATTTAGAACAGTCCTTCTTTCTTTACTGACTTGCTGAAGAGTAAACAAAAATAGTTGTCATGTGGTAGGTTCATCTTAAATTAGTTGAAAGTGTTAACCACATTGTTGTTGTTGTTATGTGCCATCAAGTCGCTTGCGACTCATAGCGACCCTATGTACAACAGCCCTAAACTCTGCTCTGCCCTGTGCCAATCTCACTGTCTCTGACACTCGCATCCCGATTATCCCAGTCACTGAATCAATCCACCTCATAGAGGGCCTTCCCCTCCTGCGCTGTCCCTCCACCCTCCCAAACATGATGTCCTTCTCCAAGGACCGGGTCTCTCCTCACAACATGTCCAAAGTATGTTAGATGGAGCCTCAGAATCCTTGCCTCCAAGGAGCCACCCAGTTTAACCCTTTCCAGGACAAATCTGTTTGTTTTCCTAGCAGTCCATGGTATTCTCAATACTCTTCTCCAGCACCACAGCTCAAAGGCATCAATTCTCCTTCTATCCTCCCTAGTCATTGTCCAACTCTCTGATGCATAACAAGTGATTGAAAAGACCATGGTTTGTATCAGACGCACCTTAGTCTCCAGAGAGACACCATTGCTCTTCAGTACTTTGGAGAGGTCCCTAACAGCAGACTGCATTGTACTTGAAGAAAAATTTGCAGCTGGCCTGGACTAATAACCCTCCCAATTCTCACTCTTTCCCCAAAACATTTTATCAGAGATCGCCACTTTGTTGTTGCCTCCAGGAAGGAAGGAACTGAATGAAAATCCACAGCTAGTCCCTGGATTCCTACCCCTTCACAATAAACATTTCTGGGTTTTCCTTCCATCTCATCTTGCTAGTAGTTTCTGAAGCATGTTTCTTCATTTTAAAAATCTAAATGTCCTGAGAAGAGGGTGGACGAGATGCAGGCACGAACTTGGGCTCCCAGGAAGAGGGTTCCAAGCAAGGCTGATCCCTGGGATCTTAGACACCGTGTGCCTGCCAGACATCCACTTGGACATTCCCTCTAGGTCACTCATTAAGCTTTCTACTTTATATGTGTGGCGTAAAAAGAGTCTTTATGTTTTTTTAAGATCAACCACTCTTGAAAAAGAAGTTCCTGTCATCTTCATCCACCCTTTAAACACTGGATTATTCCGGATAAAAATTCAAGGAGCCACTGGAAAATTTAACATGGTCATCCCTCTCGTGGATGGGATGATAGTCAGTAGGAGAGCACTTGGTAAGATCTGTGTGGCTGGAGGGCTAAGGTTTCCAGCTTCATCTTCTTCTGCATTTTTATAAGCCCAAAGAAGGAAAAACTAGGAAATGGTATAGCTCAGTTCTCTGCATGTACAGAAAAGAGTTAGGGCTCTCATTACAGAAGAGAGTGTTTTTGCTTTATTTTAAAATGGCTTAATATTTCAAGTATGAGTTTAGCTGTAATTTACAAACTTTGGATTGGAAAAGAAAAATTACTGTCTTTTTTTTTAGGACAGAAAATGGCTTATCAGACCAAGTTTGTTTGTGGGTTTTTTGGTTATCATTTTCCCCCCCAGATTTATATTTTTGATTATATGTTTCTTCTGCCATTTTTGTCTTGGTAGTGCTTTGCCTGTCTCAACTGAAAAGGAAAAATTTTGGAGACAGGACAAAATGTTTGCATATGCAGAACATAGTGTGTTTTAATAATGATAGTTGACCTAGCTAATTGTGTTTGGATTTTTGGGTTTTGGTTTGGTTTTTTTAAATTATTATTATTATTATTATTATTATTACTCTGATTTATTTACAGAGTTTGAATACATTGTTTTTCACAGAAGATCCTTCCCATTGCTAATTGGGTTTTAACTTTTGTCTGAACATCCTCTGTTTTTAGGGTTCCTGGTGAGGCAGACTGTAATAAACATTTGTAGAAGAAAGAGACTAGAGAGTGACTCCTACAGTCCTCCCCATGTGCGCCGAAAACAGAAGATCGCTGACATCGTCAACAAGTACCGCAACAAACAGCTGGAACCAGAGTTTTATACTGCACTTTTCCAGGAGGTCGGACTCAAGAACTGTAGTTCTTAGACCACTGTCTGTGTTGGACTATTTAACTCCAATTTTGGGCTAAAATATCAAAACAAAACTATTTGACAGGTGATCACTGTAAAAATAAAAACAAATCACTCCCTAAGAGCTTACCGTTTAATCACCAGAATAGAAGAAACACATTATAAACCCATTTGATAGAGGACTTTTGGCTTTCTAGTGAAATGGGCTCCAGACACAATCGTATTCCTGCTGTTAATGACACATTTTAGCCATAAACTTTCTTTTAAAAGTGACAATTTTAGTTAAATACAAGCCTTTTCCAGAGAAAGGCTTTTATGCATCTCATTTAAACATGTGCATTGATAGTATCAACAAGTTTGCAAATTAGAAGTTGAAGATAGTTTTATACCTCACTTTTTAGGAGGTTGTGTTCAAATGTAAAATCTGTCTAGAATCTTCCAAGACATTTGAAAACTCAGAAGATGCTGATTGTGTGGAGGAGAAGGAAAAGAAGGCTCCGCCTTCTGTTCATGTGCAGGTCCATTTTTTTATCCAGCCGTCAACCTGGTGAGAAGAACATCAGTGATTTTCGCTCAGATAAGAATCTGAATTAAAATAGTTCATATTCTTTTCTCCACATTTCACAGTTGCCCGCCTCATCACCGCACAGAGGATCTGTCAGAAGGCTTTAATGTCTGGTCACGCCCGGAACAGATCTCCCATGGAGGGGTGGCCCTGTCTTTGAACTGGACACAGGAAACCTCTAGAATTAGAAGTTAGAAGATCACAGTGGTGCCTCGCCTCTTTCTCCACTGTGGACCTGCGAGGTGGCATAGAGACAGCCCTAACAATTTTGATTCCTTGGTTAAATATTGAGATGTGTAATTCACAACAAAGATTTGACAGTTCCTTGGTTTCATACATTGTTTCTGATTTCAGGACCAAGCAGGAAACTACAGTTGTTTATGAAGGATTCTGATGAGTTTTTAGCAAGTGGCTTCACTCCACTAGTCCTTCAGATCTCCACAAGCTCCTGGACTTCATCAGAATTAACATGCAGTGGTCACCACCTCCCTGGGTGGCTGCTGTTAGGAACGGTGGCTTGTTGTCATGTTTTCTGGACTTTGCCAGCTGATGGCACAACAAATCCCTGCCAGGGTTTTGGAAATACTTCTGTTACCTCGCTGCTACTTTTCTGCCAGGGATGAAAGTTTTGAGGTGTCCAGATGCAGCACATCCATACAAGGATGCCTGTTACAGTGCTAGAGTACACACTGCTCATTTTTCCTATTCTAATCTGTTTTCTTCTTTCATAATTAAAATTATTTTATATTAAGAAAACATGTGACATTTGAATTCCAAAGAGGAGTGATCACAGCTGTATAAGGGGTTTTCTCACTTGAACTATGATGTCAGTAGGTTGTTATAGGTCAGACCTCCTATGGTCTTGTTTGGTTCTTCTTTTGTTTTGATGTTTTAGTAGTTTAATTAGCGGAGAGAGGGGTCATGTAGGACTAAGTCCCCTGTGCAGTTAGCTCAATTCCAGAAGTGTATCTTTTGCCATCTGTGAGCAAGAGATGTGAGCATAGCAGCTCTTGGTTTTACGTTTGCCATACCCTTGTTTTCATGTTTGTTTTAAGCTCAGGTAAAGATAACTTTCTATAACTCCAGTTTCCATTCAGGGTATACTGTTATTCAATAATTGACTTCCTTTTTAAGCTGGGCAATAAATTGATGTTCCCATGGGGTAGTAGCATGGGGAAGGGGTTCTATAATAAAGAGTAGCAACTTCTGCCCTATGAACCTATAAATGTTCCAATAGTTCAGCAGGTTTGACAGCTTTCAAGGGAATTCCAAACTGAATGGGGGTGGGGTGGGGTGGGAAATGGACCCTTGATCTAGTGAACACAGGAGGCTATAAATTGATGTGCAACTTGGAACATTCCAGAGGTTAAGAAGAATGAATATAGATGTACTTCCTCAGTGTGAGTCATCATAAAATTTTTACCTTTAACATTGTTGTAATGTCAGAAAAAAAAAATGTTTGATAGGATGTGTTGGTATTGGTTTGCTGATCTTTTAATTAGCTCCAGTTTTTGGCTATTTTTTTATAATGCTATTGGCTTTGATAAGTGAACAACCCTGTTGAGTGCATTGTGTGAACCAGAAGACTGTGCTACCAGAAAAGAAGGCTTGGGTTCATTAACGTTTGTAGACCTCACATGTGAAGACGTGACACGCCCAGTGTCCTCGTATCAACAGCGTGGGGAAGGCACCCCCCCAACTAGGTGGAGGTTTCTTCTGCTCAAGACAGCATCAACCAAAAGAGGTCTCACTCGTAGACCTTTCACAAGTGTGGATTTGCAGTTAGGGTCACTTAACTTCACACAACTGCCTTTGGTTAAGACCACTTTGAATAGGGTAATTCCAGACAGGCGAGTTTAGTTTTGGTAATCTTTAGTAATCCACATGATACGTTTGCTAGTATGTGTTCCTAACCTCTGGGGTGAAGCTAGGCCCAGCATGTGGGTGAACAGCATTCTGTGGAGAGGAAGGTATCACCCAGGGGATGCACTGGCAGCCCTTCTCACGAATGTGGGGCCTTTCTCCTCTAGCTAGGAGCACCAAGGTCCATGAGAAGGCTTTGCCTCTTTGGCCCTGTCCTTACTAAGCTAGCTTTCCCTTTTGTCCAGTGCTTCCTCCAAAGACCCCTCCCTCACCCCCTCTGACCCATTTGCCCTTTGAAAGTAGTAGTTATGTGGTGGTGGGTTGACCTCTTCCCTTCTCTACCTTCTCCTCCTCAGCCCTTGCCCCCCCCTTACACACACCCCTCCACTTTGAGATCTTCGAGTCTCTAGTTCAGGGCAGCCCATTCACCTCCTCATTTATTTATGAATACAAAATTGTCCATTTCCAGCCAGCCAGTTGTCTGCTGGTCTGTGTGGGAGGCCTTCACAGGTTTTTTTTTCTGTGTACACTGGTCAGGCTCTGCAGGGCTGAGTGCGAGAGAGGCAGAGACCAAGAATAGTTATTGCTGTTGGAAGGTGGAAGCCTTGCTCTAAGACATTTTGTGGTAGCTAATGGAAATTATATAGAAAATAATCTCTCACTCCTGGCAGTAGCTCCCCATTCCGCATTTTGACACCCATTCAGGTTATATTTTCCTCAAAAAATTGATTTCTATGTTTACATGAAACGACAGATTGAGTTGGGGTGGTCTGTTTTCAAGACTTCCATCGCAGCCTCTTGCTGACTTGGGGAGGCTGGAAGTAATCCATTTGTATGATGTGGAATCAGAACTAGGTTTCTCAGTAGCTAAAGAAGCCATGTACTGTATAGTGTTTTTTCTCAGAATATCCACGTTCTTCAGATGCTTTCCTTTTTTTAATGGTGAGGGAAAAGGTGTAATTTGTGATTCCACAGTGCCTTGTGAATAGTAGGCGCCCACTAAATACTTGTTGAAGCAAACCCAAATTTCCCAAGTCCTCATCTTTTAATGACCAGGAACATCTTTCTCCTCTGAAGGGCTTGGCAATTGTGGCTAAAAACTAAGCAGTATCATTATTTGCTTGAAATCATATATACAATTTGTATGAATTTCAGTATGTTGCCAAGACATAATCTTTTTCTTATTGTATTTTCTGTAAATATTTCTGGCACTGAACTGTAAAGTAAAGATGAATTGTAAATATGAACGTGTCCCCGTGTCCCCTGGCCTCCTGTGTTTTATCTTCGTCAATTAGGGAAGAAGGCCCAGAGGCTTGTTTGTATTTATGCCTATTCTTTGTCCAGAAGAAACCTATGGAATATTGAATGTAATACATTTAGTCAATTAAATTTGAAGGAGATTCTTATCTAATCACCTGTGTGTGCTGTTGGTTGCGGGGTCGGGTGTGACACCCCGGTGGGGGCTCTTCCCAGGGCCGCTGGCCTCTGTGCTTTGTCTGCCCTTCAGAATTTAGCTCTCTGGAAAGTTCCACGAGGGCCTGGCTGCCTGATTCCCAGAACTCAGCCGTGACACACACGAGGTCACCGTGGGTGGGGACGGATCACAGTTGGGATCCCTGGGTGGCACAGATAGCTCTTCACTGCTGGTCAGAAGGTTGTTGGTTTGAGCCCACCCAGCAGGACTGCCAAAGAAAGGCCTGGGTGGGGGGAGGGAAGGCCTGCTGATCAGTCGGCTCCTCGGAAGTCCCAGCCCTGAGGACCCGACAGTGTTTGGACCCCCGGAGAGTTGGGTGATGGAGCAATCTTGGGTCTGTGTCTCCCACATAGAAGTTGCTGGCTGGCGCACTGCATATGGCTGCCTGCTTCAGATGCTCTGCGTCCCCTTCGTTTGCTGCCACAGAGGAAGAGTAGGCCCCACAGTTCTTGGGGATCTTGAATATGTGGATACCCTACAAGGATAATTTTGGAAAAAAAATCTACTTTTCTATCCTTCAGCCGCTCAGTGAGGTAAGATTTGTTTCTACCTTGCAGGAAGTGGGATCAAGAAGGTGAAGGTGGCACATGACCCCACTAGCAGCTTAGTGGGGATCCAGGCAAGTCTGCGTGCCCAGAGTTTGACCCCATCAGCCAGCACTGCTCCCTCGGGTTTCCTGCAGGGTCTCTTGAAGGACAATGACTTCCTTGTTACATCACTGCTCAGTCACAGTCGGGCTGAGGGTGGAGTGGGGCCCAGGTCCCCAGGGGTGGCCCTGCCAGTCTAGCCCAGTGGAGCTTAGCCCCACACACCATGAAGTACCCGCTGGTGCCCTTGGTGAATGACCTCACCTCATTCCTGGTTTTCTCGCTCTGCCTGCCTGTGGGCTTGCTGCTACTCTTGGTGATCGTCTGGCTACACTTCTTACTTAGCCAAGGTGAGCCGGCAGGTGGGCCTGTGGGCCTGCAGCTGGGCAGGGACTGAGCAGCCAGTGTCTCCTGGAACGGTTTGGGCCAAAGAGGATTAGTTCAGGCATTTTTACTGCTGGCTCAGAAAAAAGTAAAAGGAAAGGATTGGCTTGGTCATTTAACTCCCAAAGTTGAATCCTCAGGGATTCATGAACCTCCAAATTCAACCAGGCAGCAATATTTGCATGGCGTGGCTGCGTGGTTATTCTGGATGGCACAGCTGCTTGCTTGTGCTGGAGGATGGCATGGCTGTGTGGTTATTCTGGATGGCATGGCTGCGTGCGTGTGCTGGAGGATGGCACTACTGTGGTTATTCTGGATGGCACGACTGTATGCTTGTGCTGGAGGATGGCACGGCTGCGTGGTTATGCTGGAGGATGGCACGACTGCGTGGTTACGCTGGAGGATGGCACGGCTGCGTGCTTACGCTGGAGGGTGGCACGGCTGCGTGGTTACGCTGGAGGGTGGCACGGCTGCGTGGTTACGCTGGAGGGTGGCACGG